TTAAGTATTCCAATATGCTACCAATTAAACATGGAACCATTTCAAAATAATGCTTAATAACAAAGTTGAAATTCGATCTTCAACTGTTAATATCTCTAAAAAATGTTCAATATTTTTCTCGTACTCCCCAAGGGAGGCTCTATCACCCCTTAAAAGGAATGGCGCCAATTTTGAATCACCCTGTAGAATCTGCAGTTGCGTAAAACGGTTCATTTTCAAATCAGCATTTCCGAAGCGCGCAAAGTTCAGGGATTTGAATGCATTTTTGAAGGTTTGAAGGAATTTTGAGGACACTTGCACAGATGCAACTTCACCGGTGAGTTACTGTGCCGTTGGGTTGGCGCACTAAGCAATTTCGGCATCGCTGCGCCAACTCGAACGTTGGAAGATGAAACAATTCAGTGGCGCCCCGCAGAGATACTTACTGTGTTGGTTTGGGTTTGTAGCCATTCGGCACGGGGCTGGGTAGCATGCGGCCCCCCCGACCCAGTTGCACTGCCTGCTCGAAACTGAGCGGCGCCTGCGGGTTTTCCCCGGGCGCGTTTCGAGTGTGCGCATTCGGGGGTCCGGCCAGTGGCGCAGTCATCGGGGTCGGCATCACGAATTCCCTAAGGGGCTCCCTGTCCCTAGGGAAACTGTGCGGATACGAGTGGGGTGTTGCGTGCGCCGAATGAGACTGTATCTGGAAATAGCCGTTTTTTTGCTAATGACGCTTCAAGCGCATAAAGTCTGTGTTGTTGAGCAGTCGGAAAATACTTACATGGGTAGGGCTGGCGTTCAGTTTCGGAAAATTGATGGTCCCAGGTTTCAGCTGCAATGTGGACGGTTTGGATGGGGTGGGCGGCAGTCGCCTTCCTTGGCCCCTTCGACCGCCCAGCACCGGGTGGCTGTGCTGCACTGAACCCTGATGGGCGGCGCTGTGTTGCATGGGGATACCTACCACAGCACCGGCTGTAATATTAGAAAAAAGGCACTGGTGCGGTTAGAAATTTGGATGGTGCACATTTATGTGGTGGCCCAGCTCGCTAACTACTTCCAAATTGAATAACCATGGAACCTTCCACATCAAACCAGTCAAAAGCTTAAAAGGCGTTAGGGTTTTCGGAATGTGTTCATCTCAGACCTTCCACTTTATTTCACCCAGATTCAACATTCAACTATGTCATTGATCAGGGAGACCTTTTTCCTCCCTCACATTTCCCACCATCCAAATCACACCATGCTACCTACACGCCGTTGTTGTTGATATTTTTGCTAGAGCTAGTTGGTCGGAGCTTTTGCTCTATTGTGAGTGCCTTTAATGGCTTATTTGAATTTAAGTTTGTGTGCGACTGCACTAACAGTAGCTAGCAAAACAACCCAGTGCCACTCTGGCATTTTTGGCTCCAAACGTCTGGTGAGATTCCTTTAATTTTCAATTTTTTGCTCCCCAAAGGCCCGGCTATGATTTTTGCCCAGAAGATTTTAGTACCAATTAGAAGCAAATCTAGAGAACACGAGTTAACAGTTGGTTTTACGTTTGGTAGTTTTATTTCGGCTGTTTTGCGTCTAATCCCTTCAATTGAACTGCACTTATTTCTCTTTACATTCTGTTTGTGGAAAAGTTTAAGAAGTAGTATAAATATATTTTTTTTAATTTACTGTGCAAAAAATAGGACGAAAATAGAATCCTAACTAAGTCATCTACGCATGAAGCAAAGTAATCGAATCTTACAAAACTTCTTTGAGTAGTATTTTATGCAGTTGGTTCGCTACTTTGACTATCGTACTAAACTTGTGGCATGTGGTTTTCACCATACTGTGACATATTTTTATATTGGCAAAATACTGAACTACGAGTTTCGAACTTGAATATCTACGCTACGACTACTCGAAAGTAATCAAATTGTTTTCGACTTCGTCGAGTTGCTCGAGTAACAAATTCAACTTGATCAACACCTCTAATTGTTCCCTGTTCTCTTTGTTAGTTGGGCATTTTTCATATTTTTAATGGGCTGCTTAAACAATCGGACAACAATGTTTAATCCAGATAACTTGGCCAAGCCGCTACTAATCTTCTAATATTTTCCAACTGTGACTTAATATGAAACATGCCWGTWWMSATGTAAACATGTAAACACKCGCKMTTRGTGYWTAAGACGMAAATTTCAGGGTGTCCAAATGTTGATGCATTAATAGAGAGCATAATCAGCAAATGTTTAGTAAAKCGGACATCRCGAGTGTTTWCWAAGATATGTWCTKAGGMGGSCTAATGGGGCTGAAACCWSWTTTCCAAAAATACAGAATWTYAACAGCAACGTTACTACTTTTCRRSATTTWGCTTCTGTTGCTTCGAARCCTAAATCCCGACWGAAKATTCATTTTAAATGAGGTTGCCAGGCCGCACGTAMAKTAGWAAMGTATGTGCTTCAAACGWTKAAATTCYCGWATTKYTRRACACTAAGAGCGCGTATACTACTACTGTGCGGAGTTTYTTGGTGAGGAATTCCYSRMTAGTGTCCATYYTCARRWCTTTGTGTATRTCYTTGT